ATCCTCCCTCCACACACCCAGGCTTGTGCCCTGCACCTCCACACACACCTCAGCCTTCTGCCCTGATCCTCCCGACACACACACACACAGCCTTCTGCCCTGCACCCCCACACACCTCCCAGACCTCTGCCCTTACCTCCCCCCAACATCCAGCCTTCTGCCCTGCACCTCCACACACACCCGAGCCTTCTGCCCTGCACCTCCCCCCAACACCCAGGGTTTATTGACTATATACAGTGTAATTTATTTTTTGCAAATTATTTTCATTTTAGTTTATTCCAGAAGGTATTAAATGTTTTAAGACTATGCAGAGCTGCACCAGAGTGTAAATACCTCCCCTTACCTGACTTTCTTATGTTTACACTTGCATCTGTTAAAAAGGAGGACAGATCCCTTTATCTAGGAGCTCCTTGACCATTCTTAAACTTGCAACTATTCAAAAGTGGTCTGTTTTAAGAAATGCTGAACAGATTTTGAAACTGACATTTTCTCAGTAATATATCCCAATATTTCTAATTTTAGACTCTAGTGAAGACCTTTGAAGTATGTGATCTGCCAGTCAGAGCTGCAAAATTTGTGGCAAGAAAAAACTGGGTTGTGACAGGAGCTGTAAGTTGTCATTTTTTGTTTGTCTGTTTCATATACATTCCCCCACTTTTCTCTTTACTTCATTGCACTCTTGCACACCATCCAGAAGTGTGGTTCCATGTTAACTTGTACGCTGGAAGATAACAGTTTATAGCTGTTAGTTTCCCCCAAAACATTCTCCTAAAATCCATTGTATAGAATGGCACTTTAAAGCTCAAACTTTCATTTTAAAAACAGAAAAATATAAATTGGTGGTTTACTTTATATTTTGGCCCGATCTATATTACCAACTCAAATAATTTCTGGCACTTGTTTAAAAGATGTATTATGCACAGTACCTTAACAATGTCCCTGTAATTAGGCTAAAAGACTTGGACTATTCAAGGTAATACGATTTTAAAAGTTTTTCTATGCTTTTCCTCAATTATGTTTAATACAGAATCTTTAGAGAAATTTTTGTTCACTTTTAGAACATTAAGCCACTTTTATCCATTGAATGTACTTCTGTCTCCATACTAAAATATGCTTAATAAATCCATCCTAGTCTTGCAGTTATGAAAAGTCAGCAAAGTGTAACAGTTGACATCACAAAGTATATACCTTACAGGCTGTAAAATATGTGTGTGTGTTTATCTATCTTGTATATAATCATCGTTTGTTTTTATATTTTCAACCTTAACATTGCATTACTAAAGAAGAAAGTCTGAATTAGTTTTGAATGCAGATTTCTGTCAGCCTTTTTAATATTTACAGAAGCAGAGTTGCAGATACAAGCATGTGTCAATGTACTTATCTCTGTTTGTAACCACTGAAATAAACATTATTTCCATGTTACATTTTTAATCTGTCATATAAATCATATTGCCCTCGTATCCAATCACCGAAACGAAGTTATATTTTAATATGCATCCAGATGTGCATGCAATGTGTGTTTGAATTGATAATTAAAGTAGATATTGTGTATGCCCAGCATGTTTTCAATCTGTTACAATTTCTGAATAAGTCTTCAAATGGGTCAAATGCCCACTGAAAATTGTCCATGATGCATTCATATTTTTAAAATACATTTATTAACTGGACAGTCAACTTGAAAATCACTTTTTTTTTTTTGCCTGACAATTTTGTATCTACTATAGAAAAAAGTAAAAGCTAAGATTTCCATAAAAGAAAATGTAGTAGAAAAATTAGTACTCTTACTTTGTTTGCTATCAAATACTTTGAGTTTCTTGTCACTTTTCCTTGTCTTGTTCATTGTCTATGCTCTCTGTTCTATGCATTGGCCAGGCAGGAGGGATAGCTCAGTGGTTTGAGCATTGGCCTGCTAAACTCAGGGTTGTGAGTTCAATCCTTGAAGGGGT